CTTAAAATTTATATTCAATGCCATTTGTTCTGGCTTTCACGAGAACTAGTTTTGGAGACAAGTTTTATGTGAGGATTTTTCCTCCTCATTACACATTTGTACAGAGCAGCTGAACATATTTTTTATGTGAATATTGGCCTATCATACCAATTTTTTTTGAAGAATCAGTTAATCATCCTACAGAATCCATACACAGAGTTTATATGAATAACAGATGTTGCAGTCTCATGAATCTGGCATCCTTATGTGTTCAACAGCTTTAAACATGGACATTTGATCATTCTGAAATTTTGCATTTAAAGACTCAGAAACATTTAACCTTTCAATTTTTCCAATCTCAAGGATATGTTTTCAGATATGCCTGGTATTGCTTTTGAAGACTTCATGCCCCAACACTTCATATTTTAGCTTTTTGCAAAACCTTAAAAAAGAAGAGAACCTCCCATAGCAAATCAGGAGATTTTATTCATGCCTGCAATCAAGCCCACCATGAAATTCTGCTTGACCATTAATTTATATTTGTTTCTGTTAATAGGCTGTATGAGCCTTGATTCCATTTCTCCAGCACGCACTGAGCATAGTGAGCACATAGTGAGCAGTGACAAAATGTTCTCTTTCCTTCAGTATTTTCAAATACCTAAGCAGCATATGATACAGACGATATTCCCAATAGCTCATACCTGCCATAAAAAAAAACAGGAGAGGCTTAAATAGTCCAATTTCCTAATACTGTCCTAAAACAGAAACTCAAATGCAAACCACCTTCCAAACCTGACAATCTTTTAAAATATCCAAAATAACAGATTTAAGGCATTGTAAAGCTGTGAACCAGTGTCACAAACTCAGCCTCTGTGCTGCTTACATTGTCACTGAGCACTTACTGCAAGCCCGTTTTTTTTTTTTAATTAAATACTTCTGCTCTAATCCTTAAAATTCTTCAATCATTTAGCTTAATTCCAAATCTGACACCGTACCAAGGAACAAATATATTGGGTCTGTGTGGCAGGGTTTTGGTAGCGGGGGGCTATGGGGTGGCTTCTGTGAGAAGCTGCCTGAAGCTGCCAGAGCAAACACCAGCCAGCTTCCAGATGGACATGTCAGTGGCCAAGGCCAAGCCCAGCAGCAAAAGTGGTTGTGCCTCTGCGATAAGAGTTAAGAAGGGGGTAAAAATGTGCTGCTGCACAACAGTAACTGCAGCTGGAGAGAGGAGGGAGAATACATGAGAGGAACAACTATGCAGACACCAAGGACAAGCGCAGAAGGAGAGGCACTGGAGCAGAGATGTCCCTGTTGCCCACAGTGCAGACCATGGTGAGGCAGCTGCCCCTGCAGCCCATGGAGGTCCATGGTGGAATGAAGATCCACCTGCAGCCCCTGGAGGACCCCACACAGGAGCAACTGGAGGTGCCCAAAGGCACCTGTGACCCTATGGGAAGTTCATGCAGTCTCCTGGCAGGACCTGTGACCCCATGGAGAGAGAAGCCCACACTGGAGAAGGTGTGCTGGCAGGACTTGTGACACCACAGGGGATCTAAGCAGGACCAGCCCATTCCTGAAAGACTGCACCCCTTTGGAGGGACCCATGCTGGAACAAGGAAAGAGAGCGAGGAGTCCTCCCCTGCGGAGGAATGCGAAGCAGAGACACTGTGCAATGAACTGAACGCAGCCCCTGTTCCCAGTCCCCTGTGCCACTGGTGAGGAGAAGGCAGAGAATTAGTGAAGAAGGGAGAGGTGGGAGAAAGGAGTTGTTAAGATTTTGGTTTATTTCTCAATCCTATTCTGATTTGACTGGTAACAAATTAAATTCATTTCCCCAGTTTGAGTCGGTTTTGCCCATGACAATAACTACTGAGAGATCTCTCCTTGTCCTTATGGGCCTTTTGTTCCAATTTCTCTCCCCTGTCCAGATGAGGAGGGCAGTGATAGAGTAGCTTTGGTGGGCACCTGGCATCCAGTCAGGATCAACCTGCTACAACTACATAAGCCTGTACAAGTGATGATGAAATGCAAACTTAAATATCCCTGTATACTGCATTTAAAATAGCCATGTCACTGTAAAGTCTAAGAGAAATAAAATACGGCTTTTGTTTTAATTCATCAAAAAGCACTGACGTACACATAATGAATTCTAACAATCTTTTATAAATTGCAAGGAATGGAAAGTCTGTCACTGTAACTGTAGGTTTCCTCTAGGGAATCCCTCTAGAATCATTTCTTACCTGGTCCTAATCAATATGCAACCAGTGAAGAGATGGAGAGATGCCAGAAACATTCACCATACATAAAGCATAAGTCATCTTTCATTACATATCAGGCAACCCAATGGTTGTACAATGCAGCTGACAGACAAGAAAGAAAAACCCAAACCAAACAAACAGTGATGGGTCAATGCCAGGGCAAAGAAAATCCTTTCAACAAGTTCACAGACATTACATTAATCTTTGATTTATATGGATCAGTTTTGTCACAGATTAACAACATCACCATCAACACCAGTCTCTGCAATCAACATTACCATGGTCATAGATGACCTTGTAACATCCTTGTGTTAACAACTTAGTCTCAAATACAAAAACCTTCATCAGCTCCCCAGAGACTGCAAAAATACAGTATACCTGAGCATAAAATAGTCAGCTTGAAAAAAATACAAAGTAATACAAAATGTTGAAGTATTTTCTTGTGACTAATGCAAAATACCAAGAGCACACAGATATCCTTTCATCTCTAAACCAGCTTCCCCACACCATATCTATTCAAGTCAAAACTCATATTCTACATTCTCTATGCCTACGTCAATCCGCCAAAAAAATCACATTAAGTTTGAGACTGTTAACCAGGACTTTATAATTCTATCTCCCAAGTGCAATGAAACTTCACCATAAATACAGAAGCCTGCTGTGTAGGATTCCTGCTACAATGTTGCCAGCTTCTTCCTCAAATGCTAAGCACCTTCTATCTTCCTTCTTAAACATCACTTAAGACTGTACACAATGAAAACAAACAAACAAAAACAAACCAAACAAAACCCCAAAACAAAACAAAAACAATCTCCACAGTTCTCAAATTCTAGAGCAAGATTCATAGTCCTTCAGGTTCAGAAAGAAGAAAAAGAATACATCCCCTGTCCAGGGACAGGATGAGTGGGAATGGTTCAAAGCCATGCCAGGTGAGGTTTAGGCTGGACATTAGGAAGCATTTCTTTACCGAGAGGGTGGTCAAACACCAGAACAGGCTTCCCAGAGAGATGGTCGATGCCCCGACCCCCAGGTTGCACAGTGTTGCCAGAAGCAGTTAAGTTTTTAATTGCAAGGCTAAACAAAGTATTTGAAAGAGGGTATGGCATATACATAATCAAACTGAACTGTATTTGGCTGAAACAAGCAGTTAAAATCATAATTTATTTTACTATAAAGCTTATTCTTCTAGCTGCAGTTTCAATGCTTTATTCACATGTTCACATGTGGTCTGGCATGTTGCTAGCTCGCTGTCAAAGAGGTACAGCCTGAATCTAGTTTGAGGCTGTTATGTGAAATACAGAGTAAAACTGAGAAGAAGGAATGGAAGTGTGGACAGAAATAACAGTGGTGGCAATGGAGTAGAAGGTAAAAAGCTTCAGAAGGAACAAAACCTCAGATTTCCTCAGGCTTACTCTGCTGTAAAACACTTCATTAATACATCCAAACACCATCTACTGCTAAAGCCTTACAAGGAAACAACCTGCCCTCAGCACCAGCCCAAGTGTAGATTTAAAAGTTGCAGCCTTGTTGATGAAGAAGATTGAAAAGTCTGCCCTGTTCTGCCTGGGGTAAGACTAAAGAAGCCTGTTCTCTTTAACACTGCCTTTAGTTAAAATCAGAAAAAATGCAGTGTGGGGGGAGGAGGCAGATCTCATGGACAAAGATCATGAATACAGTTTTACGGACAGGTCTGATTGTTGCAGATAGATACCCCCTAGCAACTCACAGCTGATAAGTCACATATCATTTTTTTGTAATGGTGAATAATTATATGTTCATTTCACAGGTACCCTCTGCTTAGGCCTCGAAGCAATCACTGAGTTACTAAACATAAAGTGTTATAAAATACATCCGTTTTTATGTACTCTCTCTCACAATGGGGAAACCTACAAAGAGCACAGAAATATGACATTAATATCTGTGCTTGAAAACTAAATCATTCCTAAGTCAGAAAATGAGGGGACAAGATAACCCGTGCATTCTTCATTTAGTCCTAAACTTGCATTTGCATTCTGTAAGCCTGTATCCTCAGAGATTGTATTAAGCAGCCTTTTTCTCTTAGTTTTCAAAGTACAGTCCAGTGTCTTATTAAATATATGTTATTCAAACCCTGCCTTTAACTCAGTATGGAGGAAAAGAATCTGTGACAAAACTGTTCTTACTAATTACTGAGTTACTAGTGCCAGTCAGCTTTCAGCTCTGCAATTCTTTAACTTTCCAGTGCTTGTCTTTTCAAGTCTTAAAACGTTCCGATTACCTCTGTACATTTCACCTGCCTAGGACTGGCATTTTACAGCCATACCGTGTGGCAGAGGAGGCAACCAAACTGAGGGCAGTAGGTAGGCAGAGGCATTACAAACGCTGACGAGCGCAAGGGCCGTGGGATCGCTCTCTTACGTGGCAGCTGGCGTGAGGGAACACCCGCGCAGCCGGCACGGCCGAAGGGACGGCGGTTCTGCACCGAGGAGCCGCAGCCCGGGCAGGAGGGGCAGCGGCCCCAGAGCCCCCGGGCCGCCCCGGAGGAGCCTGGAGGCGACAGCCGGGCTCGGAGCCGTCCCCGCCCGCCACCGCCGCGCCGGCCCGCGCCTCTCCCAGCCCACACCCCTGTGGGAAAGCGCTGCCCCGGGGCTCTCTGCGGGCGGCTCCGGGCCCCGCTCGCTGTCCCCGGGTCCCGCCGGACGCTCCGGGGCGGCGGTGAGAGGCGGGCAAAGAGCCCGCCCTCCCCCCGGGGCCTCACTCACCACCCCCCGGGGCCTCACTCACCACCTCCCGGGCGCGGCCGGTGAAGTCGCTCTTGGAGCGGGCGGCGCCCCGCTTGAGCAGCTCGTCCCGGGGGCTGTCCCCCGCCGCCGCCGCCACCCCCAGCGCCTTGTTGCGGGTCTTGACGGTCTTCACGCTGGCCTTGAAGAGCAGGGTGATGTCCACCGCCATGGCGGCCGCCGGTGCCGCCGCGCGCCCGTCCCCACGCAACGCGGCCCCGCGCGGCGCGTTCCGCCCTGCGCGGCGGGGCGGGACGGGATGGGGGGAGGCTCCGCTCCCGTCGGGAAGCGCTCGGGAGCGGCTCTTCCCCGCGGGAACCGGCGCCGGGAGCGCGGACACGGGGCTGCCGCCTCCTCCGATACAGCAGCGGCTCTGCGGAGAACGAGAGTCATATCCCAGCAAAACTCGCCGTGGCAGGTGTCGCCCGGTGGTGCTGATACCCGCGGTGTCCCAGGCTCGGCAGCTTCATCATGGAAAGATGGGTTACTTAGAGTTGATTAATACACGTTAGCAGATCTGCATGGGTTTGGGGATGGGCGCTGGTGTGAGACTCCCCTAGGAAATGGCCACACGTGCGATCAGTGGTGGTTTCCTCTGTGGTGACCAGCGACAGGACACGAGGGAAAGGCCTGAAGTTGCATCCGGGGAGGTTTAGGCTGGATATCAGGAAAAGGTTCTTCACCCAGAGGGCTGGAATGGGCTCCCCAGGGAAGTGATCACAGCACCAAGCCTGACAGTTCAAGGAGCGTTTGGACGATACTCTCGGGCACATGGTGTGACTCGGGAATGGTCCTGTGCAGGACTAGGAGTTGGACACAACAATCCTTGTACGTCCCTTCCAACTCAGCACATTCTGTGACTCTGTCTATGTCTGTGATCACCTGGAACATGCCACAATGATTTCTTCTGCACCAGGAAGCTGACCTGCGAGGGCTTCCCACCTGTGGCCAGCCTGCACTGGAACAGTGTCACACCCATCCCTGTAAGATGTATTGCACTGTTTGCAATCTGGATACGAACTTTATGGAGTAACCTTTGGTATTGAGGCAACTTTATTTTACCATGTTCTGTGCAGTAGACTAGCTATGTGAAATTGCATACCACAGACAGGAAAGCTTTTGACCAATTAACTAGTGGTAGTGTTTATATATATATATATATAGATGTATATGTAAGTGTGTATGTATGTGTAAATATATGCATCTAATATATATGCTTTCTAATGCTCTGGGTTCCAGCAAATATCGTGTAGTTCCTAACTGTCCTTTCACTGACCAGAAGCACATTCCCTGAGACAGTTTCCAAAGAACACAATTTCAAAACCCTACCCCGCCTCAGCGGACTGGAACTTAATCAACCACAACTATTTTTCCTATCTACTCCAGGGTATCAGGCCTTCTTTTCTTGTTGATTACTATTCTACTTTCAGTTCAGTTCCCATCAACTCAGCCTTAGCTATACATTAGTGGTTCCCTCATAGTTATATTGCAATTAGTATTCATTCATACTTTGTTATTATTGTTCCATTTTAAATTGTGTTTTTATTGTGGTGTAGATATGTATTTCTAATTAAAGGAATAGACTGTTTTAAGTCCCTGTCCTCGGTGCTGGATTTACCATGAGAATATATTTAAAGTATTAAAATAGTGGACAATGAAGGAGATTAAAGTTGTCACTCCGGGAAGGCCAGCAGTATTTGGTTGTACCCTGAGTCAAATGCTTTGCTCTTTAAAGATAAAAAAATTCAGTATAAAGATACTTGGACATGTTTAATAAAGCTGCGTGAAACTCACACAAGGTAAATCAGATACTTTCAGTTATGTTTCCTAAAATTGATGGTTTTTTTTCCTTGCATAACAAAGCAAGTACCTTTAATAAAATTCCAGGAATGTTGTGATCACACTGACAACCTTCACTCTTAAACTCCTTGAATGCTCTTCTGAGGCATGTTCATGAATGCTACATGCTTTGTATGCTGTGATTCTGCCAGTAACTAATAACTCATTCCACAAACACAGGCACTTGCACAGATAGTGCACCTTCAACTATGTAGTTTGTTCCAATATTTAATAAAGCAAACATTTACCCTCCCTTGAAGTATTCCCATTTAAGTGGCCATTGGATAAGAATCTACGGAGTTTTTCCTATGAGGGTGCTGCTTTTTTACATTTAAACTGTAGAAATATGAAAATATGAAAGTTATTTTGAAATGTTGAACTTTACCTTCCTGTCCTGCTTTTAGGAGAAAAACACTTATTGGTGCCTATGTGAAGTAATAGTTTAATAATTTTCTAATGAAATTTAAATTCTTTAAAATAACTGGAATACTCTATACATTTTTGGAAGAAAACAGAAACTACAATTTATTAAAGCAAAGTAAATTTTAAAAGACACACTGTAGTTTACCTTCTAACTTTGCAAAGATTTATGCACATGTTAAACTACTGTGAATATTCCCTCTGAGGTCAGTGGAACCACAGATAGCACACACAGTTAAGCACATAACTCTTTCACTGGATCAAGACCTTACCTGGACATTTTTTTCAGGAACAAGATCATGTCCTTATTTCTACTTTTACTTATTTATTTGTGCTTTATGTATGTGACCAATAGTTACTGAAAAAAACCCCAAAACAGTACTAGTAATAGTAATAGTACACAACCAATTTTGAACGTTAACAGTCTTAAAACTTCCATTCAGGCCGAAGGAAACAAACAGAGACACATTTTAAAAGGAACAGAGTATTAAAATTCCATATAGCTGATCTCATCTGTCAGAAATAGACTGAAAAGTTGATCTGGTAAAAGAAGAAGTACCTTTTTAATGTGAAAGAAGGTTGCTCAAGTGGTCTAACTCATTAGGTATATAATACCCAGTGCCTCTGCTGTAGAGTTAAATAGATACCTTTGAAGATTACAACTACTTTAAAATCATTTGTTAAGAACTGGTGCCCAGAGCTTTTATTTGAACTTGATCCTAGCTTCCTGTATACAGTAACTGCATCTGCTCAGTAGTTAGTTGCACTTTCACAGCCACCTTCTTTTGAAAGCTTAAGGCTTACTTTGGAGCAGATAGGTTTCAATAGTACATGCTGGAGCTTCCTGTAATAGCTAAAAAACCTGATCTTGAAATTTAAGATTTTGAGGTTGGAGTGAAATTCCAAAAACACACAAAGGACCACAGTCCCACCACAAGCAATGCAGGTAAGTCTGTAAGACCACAGGTGCTGTGCACTCTGTTGTGCCTCAGCAGGAGCGTGTCTGGATGAGAAGAAATTAGGGCTTTGCAAACTACAACGGTTTTGTGTGCAGTGTGAGAGCAGCCTGCTGATCATCAGGTTTTGGTGTACCTTCTTAACAGGCACGTCCACTCAAATGTCCTGGGCAAACCTGCTAGTGAAAAGGAGTTGTCGTTTCCCTGTGACTGTCGATGAACCTGCCCAGTGAAGAGGGGCCAGTGGGGTTTCTCTCCACTCAGACAGGGAACTCCTCAAATATCCTTTGGTGTCCGAAGTAAACACAGGGATAGAGCTCCTGAACTTCTTCCTTTCCATTGTAACAGAGGTCCATATTTGGCACAGACAATGGAAAACTACATGATTTCCATTTTTATGCATTTCATGTTTTTAGCGGCATAAACCCAGCAACTTTCTTCATGTGATGGCAAACTGAACAAAATATCAAAAGGAAGGCAGTTTGCTCACAGTGCACATTTGTAATCAAGACAAATCAAAAAGGGAGAAACTGTTACTTGATGACAGTTTAGACTTTTAAACCAACAGCATGCACGCATCTTGTAAATACAACTTAAATACAAACTAAAGTAAATACAACTTTGCGGATGTGTAAAGAAATCTTCTTTGGTGTTTAAAAGTAGAACTGGAAGACAATTCAACCTGTACAAACGAAGTATGGTCACTGTATACATTGAAACAAAGTTCTGTGGATAGAATGGACGTGAACTGCATAGATATAGGCAACTTATATTGTCTGTGGCAACAAATATTTACTGCTAGAAACCAGTTCAATTGGCAGGAACATCAAGGTTCTGTTATTCTTCTTGGAACTAAAATTTACACCAAAAATGGTTCGAAAATAGAAACCCTTTATGTAAAATATATTTTTGCCTTAAAACAGGTGTGTATATATGATGTATAAATTTTTAGAAAAAATGATAACTCGATTTTTCCAATTGTTCAGAAGCATATTTCATTCAAAAGAAAATCAGTTATAAAACCATCCTTTAGTTGTACTGTAAATCCTAACATGATACGTGCTATCCAGATTACATCACCAAAGAAGTGTATGTGTGTGTTTCTGCTTCTATGTGTGTGTGTTCAATGCAATTAAGTTTGAACTACTGAAATATTAAAGAGCTGGCTACTGCATGAAAGAACAATCCTCAGGAGTGATGATTCTTCCTCAGTTAAATGAAAACACTGTCCTTGCCTTTGGACATTATATGTAAAAAGCAGGTATAATTCCAAGTGAGGAAGAAAATTGTAGGTCTTCATCAGAAGAAAATTACTTTATAGCCAAGGTTTTGTAAGAAAGAAATAAACCCAATTATATAGGTGTTATTCTTCAAAGCATCACACTTCAGAGTGTAAAATCTTATAATGCAGTGTATATTAGGGTTGTTTTGACCACCTTATCACTGCTGCTCCTTGGCTGATCCAACGGCAGCAGTAGTTAGAGTAAATGAACTTTAAGATTTGTGAAAATATACAGCTGAGGCAGAATTTCCTTTGAATATGCTCTAAATGACACTGATGAATATTAAGAGGCAGCTCAGAAATGTTCAGGTGTAGTGCCTTGTACATTCACAGCCTGGTTTTTTGCCACAAGCTTCCCTGAGTAGATGAACCCCTATAAACACAGCAGCAACCAACACAAAGAAATCAATGCAGACTTGTTACACATATAATTTAACATAGATAGTGAAGAAAATGAATATTGCTAACAACTACACACTATGTCACTCTATGAGGCCTTAGAAGTGGGATACAATAAGCACAAAAGACAGGCCTGAATTTTGCATGCCCCTGCCCACAATATTGAATACAAGAGGATTTGGCTTGAAAATATCTATGCAATAGATACTGTATATGTGGGACTGTCACATTGTCCCACAAGTTCTGAGTTCCTGGCAGTGAGCAGAGATAAAAGAATGTATGCAAGAGATCCT